TTTTAAGCGAAGACTAACTAATTCACACGTCCCACTCTCATGGGATACACTATCGATAATGGCAAATGGGATAGCATTCCTAATGAATAGAGCTACTCCCCCTCCTTTGCGCTTTTGTGTTCTGTCGGCCCTTACTAACGTAAAGCCCTCGAAATCAAGTTCTATACTATCTATAGCCTGTGTCAGCCAGGTTTCTGTTACTGCGATTATATCTGGCTTTGTAGAGTCAATCTGTACACATAGTTCCGATCGCTTATTAAGTAAGCTTCGTGCATTGGTGTAACAGATCCGAAGCCTGTTTAAGTGCCTTCGTGCTTCATTAAAAATAGCTAAACACGAAGATAATATGGAATAATCAATAAGGTTACACTTCTGTTTGTTCTATTAATAATGAATATTTTTTCAAACTGGAAATCGGGGTTATTAGAACTTGTATTAAAAGGTGTAAATTATCAATTGGACGAAAATCTAATCTCAAAACATACTCCATGTTCATACAATCTACATTGAAGATATTTTATGACCGAAACTAATTTTCGAAGAATTCCGGATACTGACGTTGAGACAAGAGATAAATTGATTGATAATATTTTTTTGTTGAAAGTCTAATCAAACTCAACTATTAAATGTGAAGTTATGAAAACTCTTGAACACTACAATGCCCACCCCCTATAAGAGTGTATGTATAACTTATGAAAAAATTGGAATAACCATTGTCAATATGGGGTTATTGAGATTATCAAATGATCGATATCATGAACTGATTTAAGTTAAAAAATCACTGAGAACCTCACATGACTGAACTTTACTGGTCACGGTTTCTCACTAGAATTCTGGAATTTTTTTCTCGAAGCTAGTAACTAGTGTGTACATGGTGATCAATAACTAAACTTATGAAGGTGAAACGGAAATCAGTAGTTTGATATGGTTAATTAACGAATATCAACTGTTTTAGATGTATTGACAAATCTACTTAGATCATGACAAGGTTTTTGATCTGGTTCCTGGTGAACAACTCAGTGTATTATCTCTATATTTGCTATAATACCCAATACCTATGCAGTGTGTTTTAAATATAATTCAAGACTGCTATCACATTATAGCTACTCTCCTACAGTCAATTTCGATCGTGGTTAAATTTTGTTGAGCCGTTTTATTAACTAATTCAGAAGATAATGTTATTCGAACAGTAACAATTCACCTATTTCTTTGTCCTATTATGACCACATACGACAACCTATACACATATCTCCACGAGGGTCCATGGCGATGGCATCAGCGAGCACAATACCTACAAACAACCGCCTGCTTTATATACAAGAATGAACAACGGGTGCCCTATTCTTAGTCAATACTGGGGCTGAAATCAGCGTTGTACCTCCTGTAAGCGATGAAAGAAGAGACGTTAATACGTCACTTGTTCTAAAAGCGGCGAACAAATCGGATATTAAAACGCAAGGCAAAGGGAAGTTGTTCGTGGATTTTGAACGAGGAGCTTCGTATCACTGTGATTTTATTATAGAAGATGTGTCAGTGCCCATAATATGCACTGATTTCCTGGGGAACTACGATCTTCTAGTTGACTCACGACAGCACACAACGAAAGTCGAAGCTATCCGAGACTATTCGTTACCCGACTGGCGGAAGAAGTTACGACGATTTCTTGGCTTAATAAATAATTATGGATGGTTTATCGCGAATTTCGCGGCAATAATGAAACTATCGAGTGACGCATTGCGTGGACATGCCTGGACATTCCATATATCAATGGAGGCGATAAAGGTACTCGAAAACGCCAATAAGGCACTTAACAAAGAAAATATGCTCAGCTCGCTAGCGCAAAAGTGATATATGATATGTCGACAGGCCGACCGCGATCATTCATCCCAAAACCATTTCGACGGCAGGTATTTGGAAGTATGCACGATATATCGCATCCAGGAATAAAAGCCATGGTGAAGCTGATCAGTGGACACTTCGTAGTGAGTAATTGGACACAGATATGTATGGAGGGTCAAAAAGTCAAGGTTCACTATCACACCAGCTTCGCAGTGGATTCTCTCTCTCGCACTAGAGTCGAACATATACACATCAGTATGGTTGGACCGCTACCGGCTTCATATGGATAAAACTATATTTTCACATGCATCGATAGATAAACGCGACGGTCTGTAGCGGTACCGATAAAAGACACATCGTTCGAATCCGTAGCCAAAGCCCTAGTCGAAAATTGGACTTCTTACTATGCATGCTAGCATTCATAACAACTGATAACAGAACTCAGTTCGAACGTCGCGTGCTTCAACAACTGACAGAACTCCTAGGAATTAGACGTGTTCACACTGCATCCTTTCGTCCGATATCTAGTGTTATGGTTGAACGTTTACACAGGCAGTTAAAGGCATATCTAACGACCGTCAGTGTTAGCAACAATTGGGCAAATAAGCTACCCCTAGTCACGTTAGGTCTAAGAACAACAATTAAACGAGATATTGGGTGCTGTTCAGCTGGGTTGATGTACGGAACCACATTATGTTTACTCGGAGAAATTTTCGATTCAGGTAAGAGAGTTCTGAGGGATGTAACCAAATACGTACAGCGACTAAAAGGGCACATGAACTATCTAAAAATAACACTTCCCAGAATACAAGAACTCCGAGTGTTTGTGCTGCATTGTATATGTGGTATTTCGATTGGCAAATAAGTCACGTGATAATTAGCCGGACTAAATATTAAAACATGTATCTTTGACAGCAAGAGTAGGTGAATATACAGGAATAAACCAATGGATTGATTATTGGTAGAGAAATTTAAAATGGAGACGATATGTTTTATGAGGAGAGATTTTTGGTTTGTGTTAATGATAAATAAATATGTTGATTAGTATCTACAGTTATCGCTATTTTCTTTTTCATTGCTAACACCATGATGGGAGGTCTGGATGTTAGAATTGATTACCTTGTCACTCTGAAATTTCGTTGGTGACGGAGGCGACGATGAAGTTGTTCTTTGACAAAAACATGAAAGACATGGTGCATCTGTACTTTCTAAAGTCTCTGAATAAATGAAATTACCAATTGTCGCTAGAATACCACCGAATACTGCCAAACTGCCTACAATATACACCTGTATATGTCTATAAGTTAAATGAGGTACATAGAGTTGTATGCATTGAATGAAGACACCAGTCAAAATGTTGTCAAGCAATGATACAATCCCATGAACAAATGCTGCTGTGTGTACTTGTTTTACACCGATCAATGTTGCGATCACAACCAATGCTCGAACATTATTGATTGTGCTTCCAATACCTAGAATGGCTGCAGCAAAATACAGTGCTACGAGGCTTTCATCGGATGGTTTTAAAGAGTAAGCGATTGTACAAAATACAAGGATAAATAGAACAGCGACGACTGAGCCAATCTAAAATTAAAAAGGCATGTACGATTTTTAGTGGAACATGTACACACTCAAGGAGATATAAGTTGTATATATCTATCATGTGATCATGTTATAAGATAGACAAACGTACTGAGTTCTTCAAAATGCTCATCGAAATTCGCGTATGAATCGTAAAGCTATCGCAAGAATATATTGCATCAAGTCAAGCCAATCGTTGGCAAGATGAGTAATTGATCATTTAGAGTAATATCAACTAGCGATAAACATTTAAAATTCTACTCTGAATACTATAATACCATAATGAGTTATGTATGAGCGGTCACTACTCTATGACTTTGCATGATTCTATTGATAATATCAGTCAGCAACGAAATCCACCTTCACAGTGTCTACTTCGTTTCATTATTCATTAGTGAGTTTTTGTCTCTGTGTATTCACTTATCAAGACTGACTGACCAACATATGTGATAAACTGCAGCTCCTTAAAATCGATAAGATGCAATCCATTGAATGTGGACAAATTATTTCAAGTGATTCGATTGTGTGTTAGTTGTGTGATGAATTAAGTAAGATTCGAAACTGCTGACGATTGCTTAAGAAATACTGAATCGAACGTTACGCTACATGAGTAAAGAGTAAATAGCTATGTATAATGAAAGAACTACGCTAATCTTAATTACCATTGTCTTATTGAAAACTGTGAATTCAATGGTGAGTTGATAAGCGTTGGAAATATATTTAGTTATAGATAAAATGTCTAACGTAATCTGTTGTCCAATTCAACCTCATGTGCTGCATCGTATGTCTGGATATTGGACGATGCTTCCAGATACTTACAGATGTCCGAGTGTTTTAGTAAAGCTACCCATAAGTGTGTTACTTCAATACAGCCTTCTGCAATACAAACTGCCACATGAGACTTCCTCAGAGTAAGTCAAACACATCATCTATATCAGCCGATATAATTATCATGATTATTCTTCAGTATCTGAGTAACATTAGTAATTCTGTTGATTCACTCATGACTGAAGCTGTAATCTGTTCGATTGATCAAGTTGTTTTCTTTGCCTTTATCACATGAGACGTTTGGCCAGTTAGGTCCTTTCGGCTCAATGTCGGTCTACTACTCAGACTACTTGTTGACACCAACCAATCAAAATGTAGTGGTAAACCATCTGCATTATTTCTCAATGTGTTCTGTTTAACATCGTGTGAGGCCTCATTCCAGATCTCTTCAACACCATAAAATTCAAGAGTGATATTCTTATAGTTATGGACTCGAATTGTTCTTTCCCGATCGAAGCCTCATCACGTCTTACAATTACAGTTCATTTTTGCAAACATCTATTCACACTTAGATTATTCTAAACGTTTTGAAACAGTTTAAATACTACGTTAAACGGTTTATAGTGGAGAGAACCTGTTAATATTTCATTGCCGATTGTAGACAGACAGATGAAGCTGTATTCCAATGACAAATAAATCATGAATGAGGTTTAAAGTGTAGTCAACGAAACTGTTATGAATCAGCGCTTAACAAAATGTGAAATATTTTTCAGTAATAAAGTTTTAACTTGATTTCGATGTTATTGAAATCGTCAATTCCATCTACTTACATAATTCCCGAGTAATTTATTTATCCTTTGTACACCAACTGATGTAATCAAACAAGAAATTGTGGTAACTAAGGCGACAGAAACCATTGAACTTTTATTCAATTTCAATGAATTCAACAAAAATGGACCACTGTAAACCTGAAAGTATAACAGCAGAAATATCTATTTACAAATAATATTGTGGTTTGTAATTCATTATTTATATGTGGGCATTAAAAGCACATATTAGTTAAGTTTATGTTATCTCAGTGCTAATATTCGGAAATTCAATTGACTAGAATCTCTGTTGGTATATGCAGCCTTATTGAAAGGCCTAGATGTAGAGGGCAGTAAAACGTTTGTCGTTTGCTTGGTATATATTTAGAATTGTAATCCGAAAACTGCACACCTTGTTGATGTATATTTTTGAGTAGTTCGAGTATCCACAAACGATTTCGAGCCCTGGAACTCCTTCTCTTATCTCAACTACATCACTTCTTTGAAATTCATAATTTGAGTTTTGACTAATTGATCTCAACAAATTTCATTCTTAATTACAATCAGTTTGTGTTCATCCACCTCATTACATAATCAAGTAATCTTCTTACCTCTATGATCTACACTCATCATAACTGATGATTCAGAACATTCTCTCACATATATTATATTTATCTAGTTGAATTAAGTCAGTCCCAATCGCCACATATCCAAATCTAATCTATTTCACTATTGTAAGTATGTTAACTTTAGTTCAAGAGAGAGGCTGTGACCAGTCGAATTCAACAATGTCCAGTGTGGGACAATTATCCACCACAGGCAATGAATCAGGTTTGCTACATTTCGTGAATTCACTGAATTTGGACATTAACACCGTTAAACCCAGTGGTGGTGAAGAGTTGATGCGATGATCTGAATACGTACTCTGGTCTTCAGATCGAATTTTGTATCCGTTTATTTATTAACCGCTGACTGCTTTTAGAGGAAGTATTGAAATACATTGTTAAACTGACCAACCACCATTTATATGGCATTGGCTTTAGTCTTAATTTTAGAACGTGTATATTAGTTTAGAGTTTCTGTGAAGAACTAATCAAAGTGATTCTTTATCCGACCTGTGCTCTTAGTGCTTTATTCTATGTACCTAACTTTATACGTGTTTCTGATAGTTTGAAACACTTATTTAATATTGAGAGCTTAACGTTGAATTTCATCATATAATAAGTTTACGGAAGTTGAAATAGATCATTCATTGAAGGTAGATCAAATAGACAGGCAGGTAAATCAAATAAACTGCTACATCATTTAAATATATCACAAATTCAACACAAAACAGCAAAGTTATGTAACAAAAATGAATAATGAAAAGAATCTTGTAGAAGAACAGTGAAACGTTTACGCAATAAATGAATATAGAAAGTGAATGTACTAATTATCTTTGTCGAATTTGACTGAATTCCATCACGAAGACTGAATGATGCTTGAAGTGAATTCATTAGGGAAACATTATGAGCATTCTTCACATAACGCTAGTTCACAAAGTCACTGACTGTCGACTTCAGCTGTGTGCTATTGATCACAGAGACACGTGGTCTCAAGCATCGAAGATGGGAATAGTATGACAGTACTACATGTTCATATTTGTTATCAAAGCATCTCAAATAAACTATATCGGATTACTATGTGATTTTTAATATAATCAGATTTCTCTACTGATATATTTTTCGACTATCGTTACAGCTTACAAAAGTATTTCTTGATTGGACGTCTGAGAGGTAATGACAAAATATCGCATACTTCAGCCTCAAGTTTTACGGAACAAGCTGAATGCCGAATAGTTAACCCTGATCACGAACCCACTTGAGGTAGCGTCTATTTCGCTTCTCATGATTTAGGCTCATCTCTCTGTCGTATGCTATTCTACATATTATGCTACACTAACCGTAACTGCGAAACAGCTTGAATAATTCGTAATCAGATTAATGATCCAATTACTACTAGGTGCGATATTTATATACAAAACCAAAGTTTTCGATACATGAGCATCTTCCATCGATGTTTTAGATCACTATTTCTACTTGCCATCTGAATTCCGAAACCTTATTAGTTCAGACCTCCTACAGTTGAAGTTGAAAATGGTATATCCGGTCTCCAAGAAGAGCCTAATTTATTTCGTTGATTCCTGCTATTCTTGCTCGGTAAAGTCGTGCCACATCATCTGATTTACAGAATATATTGTAATCATTTTTCGACACCACTTATTGGAAGGATGCATTTCATTTTGATGGTGCTTTAACATATGGTCAATTAACAATTCAACGTTTTTCACTTGGTCGATATTCCACTTATTTTCAGGTAAATCTCATCTTCATTCAATATTTCAACCACAAAACCCTGACTGAATTATAACTCTGAAACACACTTCCCAAATATGATCCCATAGGAGGGGTTCTGTACAGAGAATTATCTTAACTTGTAGTCATTCCATTAGGTATTTCAATGATTCATCACTTACTTACCACAGAAACAGTCACACTAAGACGCATTATACTGAATGTAGAACAGCTCAGCCAAAATCTTGGTAGTGTAAACCAAGCATACCAGGGAAGTGTAGATGAAAGGCTGTAGGTCCGTTTTAGTTTGGATTTGAGCTGTGAAACCACAACAGAATTACCATTAATCACTTTGTTATTGTTGCTTGTTCCATTCACTTGTGAGAATTCATCTGTGGTATCTTCAACAATGGAAAGAAATAAGTGTCAAATTCTGACTAATTTCAGATTACAAAAAATTGTGTAAATGAATCTCATTCAATACCTACAATTTGTTCGTGTGGACTGATTATCATCATCTTCATAATCATCAAAATGATTCGACAACAAAATCATAGTGATTGTACAATCCATACATCTCAATCTGTGCACTCATTTCTTCCTTGTGCCGAACTGTCACCGGTTTCATACACTTCAATAACATCAATTAAATTACCTCAATTATAAGAATTCAAAATTTCACAGATCAGACAATATCATATTGATAACAGATTATAATAGTTTCGTTTACATTCATCTACTGTGTAGCGCGACTACTTCAAAACGACCAATTCAACGAACGAGTTGACATTAGACTCTAAGAACGACGTATCAAATTCGACGGCAGAATATTTCACCATCTTTCAAGTCCTAATTGCCACACTTTCCTTCTGGTCAAAAGATTTGTGGAAATAGATTTGCTTGATTGTGTGCGATACATGAACCGGAATCGACTGGCATTAACTAGAGAACCATTAGAAACTAGGAAGGACTATGTAGCTAGTTCGTCTTAGTCTGATGCTCCTGCTCACCCCTACATTTCTCTGGAGTGAAATGTGAATTCAACCACACAATGACAACTAATGGACCACAAATCAGTGGGTTTTGTGTAGTATGACCTGAATGCCTCACAGTGGTAAGTAATAGGTGACGAGAAGTCTCAAATCTCAATGAAGCAACTGTCTGAGGATGATAACTAACATTTTGGTAATTATCCAACTGAGTCCAGTCCACAACTCAACTCAATGTCAACCTGTATATTCGCCATAACACTAACCAATAAAAATTGAAAATGATGAGTGACAGAGAATTATGATCAATTTCAGTTCATTCATTCTACATCGACAAATATAACAGTTAAGTGAAATGTCAGTTTCCCAGTGTTTTCATCATCACTGTCTCTTTCAAACTAATCATTCAGTGTACAGTAAAACCAATGAACACTTACCAAGTTACTACCCTATTCGAGTCAAAACTAATCAGATGTTTACTTTTCATTGGTCAAATTGGTTGCATCGACTTTATCGTTTATCCACTCAGTACAGAAATCTCTCTAGAAATCATTTCAATCGGATCAGCTCCATTTGTTGAAACACGCAAACATATCAACAAACAACATTCATACATAGTTTGGATTTCCAAAATTCCATCTACATCAACATGGTATTTGACTTACTCTCATGAGATTGCATTGTGAGTGGTTGGTGTGCTTTCGGTTTACCTTCACGAACACCACAATGGAAGATTATTGTGAATAATACTCCAATGCCAACAACAATCAATGCAACATTTCGAAATATGGGTAAATCTTGAATTGTTATATTGTATTCTGAATGTACGACTAACTGTTTCCCAACATTCGTTGAGTGGTTATTTATCGAATGATTGAACAATGTTACTCGTTCACTCCCAACAATAATGTCAGTTGTTATTAATGATTTTGTGAACAGTTGACTGTTGTTCACATTGTTGTCAGTCTCATTTACTGATTTCAAAAGTAACAAACTGGATTTTTCTGATTCAAAAAATACATACGTTATAAGCAATGTAGCCAAATGTCCGATTCCATGGAATAAATATCTCAAGGATGCAAGTAATTCTCGTTCATCATGTTGGTCTGTCAAATCATTGATAATTGATAAGTGGGGAATTTGTACAGCTGCACAACCAACCTTCAAAATATTGTTTTGTAGATAAAAGGAGAATCAATTAGTTTGAATGTTGATTTATTTTAAACTATCATCAATACGAAATCAGCGTTTAGTCAATTCATCCGACTCCGCAGAAAACAAGAACCACTCGGACCTGAGAGAAATTTCTTTTGAAGACCGCAAGTGGATACCCGATTATTTAGAACCTAAGTAATTTCAAATTACAATGGATACTGGAAGAATGGTGATTAGAGCTGTGGAATTTTCAAACTGATAATTGACATTTTCTCAGGTTTCAACTGACTGACTAACTAACATTAATCAAACTACCATTGAAAACCAGAAGGCGCTGTAAATATATGTTGTTCCAGTTCCGGATGTTTTGACAATCCACACACACTTGTCTACAGAAGACCTGTTTCAGAACTATCAGACTATTCACCACTGTGATGATTGTCTTCTGAATGTAGTGGATTTAAGTAGAATTTTTATTTGAATCGAAACACGTTTCGTTCGTTTATCGTTTGATGAGTAAACTTCATGCCAGTAAATGTTTAATAACATCAGTTAGTTTATAATTATAAATATTTAAACATAATGAATCCTGTAAATCACTTGTAAAGATTTGCATTGTTTCCTTTGTACTATTTAAACTTGTGTTAATTACTTTTCGGTCATTTATTTACTATGAAGAAATGACTCACTTTAAATCACGAAACATCAGAAACACTGTGGTGTGTGCTACTGATGTCACTAGACATAAATAGTTTGATTCATCAATCAAAAGTGAAATGCCTGTAGACATAAGGTTAGGAAGATCGAGGAAAAGAGAACGAGAATGGGGAATGGTTGGTGTGGAAACGAAGGAACAATCAAGTCTGAGACGATTGACTGATATTTTGTAAATGAAGTATCTACTGTACGGTTCTCAGAGTTTACTGAGCTATTCTATAATTTCGTGTTCAAACACATTCAATCATCGCCAATTATGTTCTCGCTTACTTACTTACTTACGCCTGTTACTTCCAATGAGGCATAGGCCGCCGAACAGCATTCTCCAAATCACTCTGTCCTGTGCCTTCTTTTCTAGTTCTCGCTGTTCTGTTCTCGCTTCCTACAACACAATTTACTACTTATTGGGATACCATGGAAAGTAGATTTATTATTGTACTCATAAATGATGTTTTGTGGATTTTGTAGAAATTAGGGTTCGTTTGCATGAGGGACTGATTTAATTTGGGAAAATGTTAGAAAAGAGAGGACTTCCAAGACAGTTGTTTAGTCTTATTATTATATTTTCTTTAAGTATGACTAGTACATGAACTGAAACAAGAATTTCCAAGCCAGTCTGTCAGTTCATTAGTTCAAAGCTTATTATTTTGTAAATGATGAATATCAGTAGAATCATTTACAAAAATATTTTGGCATTGAATATGTGCGCTCCGATTGACAGAATCTGACTTCATGTATCCCATCGATAAAACGTTAGGCTCGTTTTATTTTAAAAGATTATTTACAAAAATATTTAATCTCAACTCCATTCGAATTTACTTCGATGACAACTTTACAGTAATCGGTTAAATAGTTTGTTTTTAACCTTTGAGCATGTTGATATTTCATCCAGTTAGATCATTTAATAAACTTTTGTAAAGCAAGGACAATAAACCTGGTAGAATGAGGTGACCTAATTTCACTTTGTGTGCTCTAAATCTTCCACATATGTACTGGTGTGCATAAAGAAATAAATTTTTAAAAATATTTTATCAATCTAATTTAGTGGATAAGATACATACAGTAATTTAGTTCAATAGTGAACAAATGACTATTTTGATAAATCGATGAATTGATCAGACATGATAGAAACCGTTATGTAACCGTGTGCAAGAAACGTGTGAAAACCATTGTGATTACGATAGACAAAATGATAGTAAGTATCAAAATACAACAGTAAAGTGACCATAATAATATTAGCTAAAGAAGGCAAGAAAACTTAAGTAATAAGATATCTAAATTGATAAGGGTTCAGACATTTTATTGAATAAAACTGAAATAATAAGGCCTTCGTGATATTCATTCCAATGTCTACACATTTACATAGATTTAGATATAAAATATTCACTCAATCGACCAACATTATCACCTAATATTTTTCCGAGTGATTCCAAAAACTCCACATCACAATCACACAATAAAACATACCTGAACACAAATCATAAACATGCCATTGATCAATAACTTCACCACAATTGGAAGACCAATAAAATATTCCGGTTGTCCGAACATCAACGGAAAGGCAATAAATATCAATAAACATCCACCTAAATGCCATGACTTTCTCTGTCCAAGTCTCAACTGTCGTTTCATTCGACTGAACAACCTCTTATCCTTCTTTACACTTCCATCTTCACACGTTATCGACTGGTGAACAGTTGCCGGTTTTTCAGTTAGACCGAGTGGACGATCTGATAAATAACCAATCAATGGTGTGGCTAATCCATTGGCAATCTGACCACACAGTAATAATGCCCCAACTTGTGAACTACTCAAACTGATACAACCTTCATAGAATATGATGTAGAATATACTGATAAATCCCAAAACAAGATCTTTAAGCATTTGACCCGTTCCATAAGCAATTTTACTAATCCACTTCATTTTATTTGTCGTTGTAGCTTGGATAACTGATAATGATTGTGGGACTTTGATGTCACTCATAATTCACTGATTTGACCAAAATTTAAGAGTGAGTTAATTCAAGTGCAGACACTAACTTGTTGAAGTGAGTAAAATTTCAGTGATTTATGCTATTTATCAGAATTGAAATTAGTCTCGTTTAAATACTGTTGTATGTACAATAATTTCGCAGTAATTTTATGGCCTAATTAATCAATATGAACTGACTTGTCTCATTGTCCAATCAGTGAATAACTATTTTGGCTTTTATACTAACCGGCTTGATGAAAGATGAATAACAACTTCATTACAATGAAATGATTCCAATGATATTTCTTACACTATTCATTGAGTACCTTTTTTTAAAATGTGTATCCTATCCACTTCCAGCGCTTCTCCCTGATTTCTTCCTGCGCTGGGATCTGGTTTGTTCTCTACCACAATAGCTTGTTGCTGTTAGTGTCTGGTCATCGGATCCGAAGTATTTTGCGTAGACAGCTGTTAATAAACACTTGTATTTTCTGTATTGCAAACATATAATGGAAGAGTCATAGGATTATTATTACCTTGATTTTCCCATTGTTATATAGAAGTTCATCAAGAGTAAATGCTTAATTTAATCGTCACGCGTACATTGATCCGAAAATTACCCTTGGACGTTCAAAATTTATATCGCATTATGACCATTTCTATGGCATTGATTTAAATTCAATATCCCGAATAAAACACACTGGCGTAGATATATTTGAAGATACTAGTTTGAAGCTATATATTTCAAAGATTTCTTTATTCACTCATTACATTGTGATTGTGATAAATTCAAGCGATTAGTTCAGTTTCTCAAAGCACACATTTTTTTCCTAATTTACGATCTATTATCAGTTGTTATGACCAGCCTTAAATTCAATGGAGCTCAGGATATTTCCTGATAAAAACCTCTGTAATAGAAGGTATTTATCATTGATTATTATTGTTATAACTTGCAGCCTGAGCGCCCTGTTAATGTATAACGTAATAATATCGCCAATTAGAGAGCAGTGACTGGTCGATTGGACCAATGATGCATAAAACACGTGTGAGCAGTCTAGAGTCCTGATTGGTCCTGCTTTCCGCCTAGCCCAGCCAGTTAAGTCCAGAAAACCAATCTCAGCCTCTGCAATATGAATCATTTATTTCAAGCATACGGTGTTTATACAGCAACCAGACAGATCAGATCGTACCAATAAAATAAGAAACAACATATGTACGAGATTTAGCCAAATGTGGATGTGAATGGGGAAGGTAGTAATTAATAGACAGGGCATAATTCAAGAATGGTGAATCGTATAATAATAGTTCATAGGTCAAAATAAGGCTCATAAATATAGGGACATGAATATGAATAGCTTGGTTATTCAACAATTATACGACAAATTATACCATAAATGGATACCAAAAGTTACCATTCATTATGCTTATTGGAACATAACAATTATAAATGTATTGATCATTACAATGATATATATCATGACAATCTTTGTAAAATACTACTTCTTAGGGTACGACTAATGGATTACATTAATTGTACTCAAATTGTAAGGTTAATTAGCGTCATCTCATTTAGATCTAGATCTAGACCAAAGTATGCTAATTCAACATTGACCAATTGCTCATTTATTATTATGATTCACATTTTAGCTGTGTAAAGTATACAATTTCACTCTTCTACTGTGATTTTAATTTTTTCGCATTTTCAAAACTAATGACATGATTCTGCTGTTGATCATTAAGAAATATCTTAAGTCATGCATATTTATCACATTAGTCTTTCAGAATGCACGAAAACTAATTCTTATCTTACTTATTTTATCATATCTAAATGAATATTTATCTTATTTAGATCTGATGATATTTTCTGTGACTTTTCCTGACTAATATGAAATACTTCAAAAAATGCCATTTGTATAATGAGATTGAAATAATGATGTAATTTGTTTTGTCTGATTAGGGTCAATCTCATGATTGAAAATAAATTTATATTTTAATTAGACTAAATCATTTTGTTTCATATTATTCTAGGTTAAGAAATGAGCACTCATGAGAAAGCTGAAATTTTCGGCGAAATAAAATAAGCTAACGTGAGAACTTTGAGAATAGTTTCATCAAGAACCTATTGTAATTCGTGAATATTTGTGGAGGTTGTCAAGATTTTGATTGAGGTCATGAATCGATCAATGTTAGACCAGCATTGGAAACTTGAGGGCATTGGACGAATTGTTCGTCCTTATATAGGTCTCTTCGGCAGTGCACATCCACGATCCCGGACACGGGATTTGAACCTAGGACTCTGGGTCTCGCGCATGAATGCCTAACCACTAGACCACTGAGTCGGTATCCAACGCTAGTCATGTCTAACTCCAACCAATTAGTGAACTTTTGAAAGTCAGGAAGCTACTGACACTGAATTCATCAAAGTCTAGATCACTTCGATAAGTGCACAGATTTCCATGTTTTCATTGTGAGAGTGAAGGATACTGAGTTTAATCGCTTCTGAGGAATGCGAAGCTACAATAGAAATATGCTTAAAATAAACATCATTTCTTATCAAATTAATTTTTAGAGAGTTTCTATTCAAGAGGTGATGAAATAGAATGAATATCTATCACACCACCAATCTTCTCGATGCTTGATTAATTGCAAAGACATATAGGAGCTGTGATCAGGTCTGACAACCATCTTATGTAAATGCATGCTAGACTACTTGAAAGTAGTGTAATTTTCGTGCGTGATTTTAGAAGTGCACTTTTTAAAGATCAGTTAAATCAGTGTTCAACATCATCGTGCGAAATTTCGGTGAACACGTTAATTCGAAAATGGTAAATTAGGTTGGAAAATTACCAACTATTACTTGATTAGTGTGTGTATCACTGTGGTGACTGAATTATTGAGTCAATCACTCCATAGATAATCAGAATAGATCAGTTTCATGGAAATTTCACACAATATATACCCAGTATCTTGCTAAGTGATGAAAGTCAAGTGTTTTTAACTTAGTGGCTTGTGATAAGGTTTGTGTTGCTGATATACAATTGATAAACGGGTTTTTTATTCTGTCAGTCACATAAAGAACTTATCGAAGGTTTTTGATAGTGTTCTATTTTATAGAGAATTCATGTTCACAGAGTTGTAGAATAAGTGACCCTATATGAATTTGTGAATAATTGGCCAATAATACAACACCTGATTGAGAAACTATTGAAGAAGTGGAAAGTTTCACATATCTGGATAGCATCATCGATGAATTTGAAGGATTTGGTGTAGACGTAAATACAAGCATTGGCGAGGTAAGGACAGCAATCCTACAGTTGGAGGACATATGGAACTGAATACAACTGTCACTGAATATCAAAGTCACAATCTTCAATACGAACGTTAATACAGCCCTACTGTACGGAGCTGAAACGTGGACAACTACTACAATTACCATCTAAGTTGTACAGATATTTATAAACAATTGTCTATGCAAAATACTCCAGATCCGTTGATTGGGTACCATCAGTAACGACTTACTATAGGAGAGAACAAGCTATCTTCCAACTGACGAGGAAATTATGAAATGACACTAGAGGTTCATGGACACACATTTAGGAGATCATCAAACTGCCTCACGAGGCAAGCACTAAATTGGAACCGCAGAGGAAAAAGGAAAAGAGGCAGACCAAATAACACATTACTTCGGGAATAGCAGTTGAACATCGAAGGAATGAATAGCGGTTGTAAATTAGCTACCGGTGTGACTTACCTTGTTTTCGTTAATCTGTACATTTATTAGTGTTGCCGATTCATGGAATGATTACTATTAAATAAATCGTTAGCGTTACAGCTCAATAAAATCTTCGATCATTCCTTTGTTACATTTTGAACACAACATTAACCTACTACCGGTTTAATTCACGAGTCAATCTAAGCTAGAACGCCATTTTAAAACCTGGAAGCACTGGATGGCTATTTCGTTCCTGTATGAAACTCCTCAGTATTGCACATCCACGATAACGCATGCGGGACTGGCTTCAAAATGAATTTCCCAGAGTTCTGTTGAGATGTCTTAAATTTTGGACCCCAATCCGTGCAATTCACGACAGGTATCTAACACAGACCAAGGATGAAGGGTTGGAAAGAATCATGGGTGAATTCAGGTTAGATACTAACACTGTTGGTTACCCGCTCAGTGGTCTGGAGTTTAAGTGTTCAAGTGCGAGACTGAGTCCTGAGTTCGTGTCTAATGTGTGTGATTGTGAATGCACACTGCCGAGGAGTCCATACTAGGTTTAGACGGCTGGCAAGTGCTTCCATGACTACATTGGTGTTCTAGCTCAGGAATCAACTAATACAATGACCACAATCTCCACAAAACCCTATTCTGACATTAATTTATCAGCTTCTTTGTTGATGAGTTAACTAATGATTTTAGTCTGATCGATTTTGCTCTGTTACGATAATTACTGCTGTGGTGTATGCTAATTATATTGAAATAATTAGTATGCAACACCAATCAGAAGTGGGTTGCTTGGCATCAGAAGCTTGGGATGATCGAATAGCGGAGAACGGGGACGGAGAGTAATTAAAATAACAACGAAGAAACGATAAAGATTGACACAATTGATGAGGGGTTTGCAAATGAAATATTGAATGTGTTGTTTTCAAAATTATTGAAGGGACTGTGTAATTGTGTTTTAAATGATAAACCGGTTGTCTCCACCTGAGTTTTCGTTCATTATACTACTACGAATCATAATAATAATAATAATAATAATAATAATAATAATAACATTAACAATAATAATATTTGTGATAATAATATTACTATTGTTATTCGCTGTTAGATACTGTTTAGAAGTTTTGTTAACATTTTAAAAATGAGATTTAGAAAATCGTACTTGACCTACAAAAACATTAGACAGTTAAAATTACATTGTCATTAGCAATTGTATAATATTAAGAAACCCCATCGTTTCATTAGTACCATTACACTTATAACGGTATTCGGTGAATATGTTTATTCT